TGGGACATAAAGTGATACTTGTGAGGAGTGTGCCTCTTAGCTCAAGTAGATACAAGAGACTAAACAGGCAGCTTCTGTCCAGAGGTGAGATAGGAAGGCAGAGAGGGTTAGGAACTGGTTAACTGGACATGGGGAATCAGAGGAGGAAAGCAGGAGTGTGCTGTCACAGTATGGGGAGAGCAATTAGAGTCACATAACAGTGTATGTATAAATTTTTGTATGGGAAAAAATTAAAAAAATAAAAAGGCACAGATCTGAATGTAAAAAATAATAACTAACAGACCTTGGATTTATTGCCCCCTGTGACCCACAAAGTGTTCCATGCCTAAACTAACAATTCCTCAGGTCATCCTTGAACTTGTCAGTAAGACACCACATGATCACCAACTGCCCTCATTTATAACTACACATTATCTGAACATCCCTTTCCGTGTTTTTACAAATGCTAACAATTAAGTCTTTAACTTCCTTGTTCTTGCTATATAAACCTTTGACTTTTTCTCTGTAGCCAGAGCTCCTTTCCACTTTCAGTTAGGATGCTGCCAGATTCATAAATCTTTGCTCCTGCTCCGATAAACTCATCATAAATTTAAAATTTTCCTTAATCTCTGAAATTTTCTTGGACAAGCTCAGGCATTCTTCAGTTCCTTGGTGATCTTTACATGACATCTCTCTTCCCCAGTATGTGTTTGCTTCTCTGTGTTTCCCCTACTTATGATTCAGAAGTGATTAAGTTTTGGACACATCCTACACTAATAGAGCCTTATTAACAAAGAAAACCTATTTCCAGACAGGATTACATCCACAGGTATGTTGTTGTTGTGTGCCGTCGAGTCGGTTCCAACTCAGAGCAATTCTGTGTGACACAGTAGAACTGCCCTGTACGGTTTCCTAGGCTGTAGTCTTTATGGAAGCAGACTGCCAGGTCTTTTCTCCTGCAGAGTGGTTGTGTGGGTTTGAACCCCCAACGTATTTTTGAGGGACACAATCCATAGCAAGGATGTGTTGTTGTTGTTAGGTGCTGTCTAGTTGGTTCCAACTCATACCAACTCTATGTACAACAGAATGAAACGCTACCTGGTCCTGTGCCATCCTCACAATCGTTATGCTTAAACCTGTTGTTGCAGCCACTGTGTCAATCCATCTCATTGAGGGTCTTCCTCTTCTTCACTGACCCTCTACTTTACCAAGCATGATATCCTTCTCCAGGAACTGATCCCTCCTGACAAAATGTTGGAAGTATATGAGAAGTAGTTTCACCGTCTTTGCTTCTAAGGAGCATTCTGGTTGTACTTCTTCTGAGACGAATTTGTTCATTCTTTTGGCAGTCCCTAGTATATTCAATATTCTTCACCAACACTACAATTCAAAGGCATCAATTCTTCTTCAATCTTCCTTATTCATTGTCCAGCTTTCGCATGCATATAAAGTGATTGAAAACACCGTGGCTTGGGTCAGGTGCACCTTAGTCTTCAAGGTGACATCTCTGCTTTTCAACACTTTAAAGAGGTCTTTTTCAGCACATTTGCCCATTGAAATGTGTTGTTTGATTTCTTGACTGCTGTTTCCATGGGTGTTGATTGTGAATCCAAGTAAAATGAAATCCTTGACAACTTCAGTCTTTTCTCCATTTATCATGATGTTGCTTATTGGTCCAGTTGTAAGGATTTTTATTTTCTTTAAGTTGAGGTGTAATCCATACTGAAGGCTCTGGTCTTTGATCTTCATCAGTAAGTGCTTGAAGTCCTCTTCACTTGCAGCAAGCAAGGTTGTGTCATCTGCATAACACAGGTTGTTAATGAGTCTTCCTCCAATCCTGATGCCCCATTCTTCTTTATGTAGTCCAGCTTCTCAGATTATTTGCTCTGCATAATTTGCTCAGCATACAGATTGAGTAGGTATGGTGAAAGGATACAACGCTGATGCACACCTTTCTTCACTTCAAACCACACAGTATCCCCTTGTTCTGTTCGAACAACTGTGTCTTGATCTATGTACACTTTGAGCACAATTAAATGTTCTGGAATTCCCATTCTTTGCAATGGTATCCATAATTTGTTATGATCCACACAGTCAGATGCCTTTGCACAGTCAATAAAACATAGGTAAACATCTTTCTGGTATTCTCTGCTTTCAGCCAAGATCCATCTGACATCAGCAATGATATCCCTGGTTCCACATCCTCTTGTGAATCCAGCCTGAATTTCTAGCAGTTCCTTGTTGATATACTGCTGCAGCTGCTTTTGAATGATCTTCAGCAAAATTTTACTTGAGTGTGATATTAATGATATTGTTGGACAATTTCTGCATTTGGTTGGATCACCTTTCTTGGGAATAGACATAAATGTGGATCTCTTCTAGTTGTCTGGCCAGGTAGCTGTCTTGCAAATTTCTTGGCATAGACCAGTGAGCGCTTCCAGTGCTGCATATTCTGTCAATTCCTGGAGGCTTGTTTTTGGCCAGTGCCTTCAGTGGAGCTTGATCTTCTTGCTTCAGCACCATCAGTTCCTGATCATATCCTACCTCCTGAACATCGACAAATTCTTTTTGGTATAGTGACTTTGTTATACCCATTATGCCTATACCTACAACAAGGGTATAAGTATATTATTTAGAAATGTCAAGGTAAATACTAGGGGGTGGGGGGCAACTTTAAAGAATTGAAACTGCTTTCTTTGAAAGTAAACTTGACTTATGGAGAGATGGGGCAGAAGAATATGGTTTTGGGTTATAAATGTCAAAGACAGAAAAAAAGAGGTTCAAATAAAATGCTGTAAACCAAACTCACTGCTGTGGAGTCTACTGTACCTCATCGCACCCATTTAAGAAAGAGTAGAACTGCCACATAGGGTTTCTAAGGCTGTGATCTTTACAGGAGCAGACTGCCACATCTTTCTCCTGTGGAGTGTCTGTGGGTTCAAACTGCCGACCCTTCAGTTAGCAGCTGAGTGCTTAACCGCTGCGCCACCACCCCACCATCTCTCCCCATGTCTATCCAGTGCTTTCGAGGCACTTAGAGTTCATAGGTATCATCACTATAAAGATTGAGGCCATGGCCCTCCATGTGGATTTCTACGAATCCTAACATCTCCACTCTCCTGGTTATCTCCAGGGTTTTCTACCTTTCTGAAAGGAGTTTGGGATCTCAGACAAGTTCCTTAACTTGACGAGTTTCCTTATTTGTAAAATGGAGGATGATAATGAACTTGCTCAGAGGGATGTTGTGAGAAATAAATGAAAATTATACTTGTACAGTGCTTGGCACATAATAATAGCTCAATAGGTGTTAGTTCTGTGGTTATTAATTACTGAAAACAAACAAAAACCACTCATCATTGACCTGTGCAAGAAAGGGCACCAGTCAAAGTTGCTACAGTGTGGAAGCAGAAGAATCTTGTTTCTTCTTTTTTTTTTTACTGTTGTACTTTAAGTGAAAATTTACAATTCAAGTTAGTCTCTCATACAAAAATTTATACATACATTGTTAAGTGACCCTAGTTGCTCTCCCTGTACTGTGGCAGCACACTCCTCCTTTCCACCCATGATTTCCCGTGTCCATTCAACCAGCTCCTGACCCTCTCTGCCTTCTCATCTCACCTCCAGGCAGGAGCTGCCCATTTAGTCTCACATAGCTACTTGAGCTAAGAAGTCCACTGTTCACGAGTATAATTTTATGTCCCACAGTCCAGTCTAATCTTTGTCTGAACAGTTGGTCTCGGTAATGGTTTTAGTTCTGGGCTAACAGAGAGTCCAGGGGCCATGTCTTCTGGGGTCCCTCCAGTCTCAATCAAACCATTTAGTCTGGTCTTTTTACTAGAATTTGAATTCTGCACCCCGCTTTTCTCCTGCTCTTGTTTCTTCTGATGACTGAACTGTCTACACTTAGTCACCAACCTCACTTCCTCTGGGGCACTCTGTTGACACTGCCCTTATGGTGTACACAGGCCAAGAGTCAAGATTAGGCAAGAGCAAAAGACCTCACCCTGTGTCTTGGAGCTGAAGAAGGAAGGGGGTGATTTTAGGATGAGAGCCTGGCCTGGCCGGCGTCAGCTAGGGGAGCCGCCTTCCTGGAAAGGAGTTGAGTCTAGGCAGGAGGAGGCTGCAAGGGTCAAAGTCCCTACCATGGCAGCGTGGAGGTGCTCGCGGTCACTGCTGCTGCTGCTGCTGCTGCTGCTGCTGCTGCTGCTGCTGCTGGCGGCGGGCGTGGACGCCAGGTGGAGTGGGGAGGGCACCAGCCCGCATCTGCAGACCATCTTCCTGGGCCGCTGCAGTGAATACAGCAAGCTGCTCAGCCCTGAGCAGCGGTGAGCCAGGGTGGGATGGGGGTGAGAATGGGTGGGTGCGGGGGGAGACCTAACGAAGGGGTGGGTGAGAGGGAGAGACAAGGGTGAGGGGGACAACATGGGTGACCTGGAGGTGAGGATTGTGTGGGGAGTGGAGAGGGAGGATCTAAAGATGAGAGGGCAGGGTCTTGTCTAGAGGTGAGGGGTGCCTGTGTGTTTCAGAGGGAGGGTGGGGGTCTAGAGGTGAGAGGTGCATGTGGGGTTTGGAGGGAGGGTGGGGGTCTGGGGTGAGGGAGCATGTGCGTTTGGGAGGGAAAGTGGGGGTCTAAGGGTGAGGGGCATATATGTTTGGGAGGGAAGTCGGGGGTCTAGAGGTGAGGGTGTATGTTTGTGGGGAGGCGTTAAGAGGTAAAGGGGCTGTGTGTGGGAGGATGTGGAGGCTTAGACCTGAAGGGTGCTTGTGTGTGAGGTGGGAGTCTAGAAGTAAGAGCGGTGTGATGGCAGTGAGGAGGCTAGAGGGGAGAGATGCATGTGTGAGGGTGGGGCGTCTAGAGGTGAGAGAGCCAATGTGGGTGTGTGTGTATGTGTGAGCAAAAGAGAGAGAGAGAAAAGGGGGGGGGGGCTGGAGTCTCTAGGTATGTGTGGGAGGGCTGAGGAGGAGAGAGTCTAGAGGTGAAGGTTAGGTGGAGGCGAGTTTTGATGACTCACCTGAGTCTTAGCTAGAACCTGAAACCCTAGAATATGGTCTCTGGAATTCCATGAGTCCAGATATTTTGAAAATTCGTTTCAGATCCTCCAGTCTAAAAATTTTCTAAGTTTGCACTACAGGGGAAGTCAGCACAACTGGACTAAACCAACGCTAAGAAGTTTCCTGAATACAACCAAACACTTTGAGGGACAGAGTAGCAGGGGCAGGGATCTGGGGACCATGGTTTCAGGGGGCATCTAGGTCAATTCGCATAGCAAAGTTTATTAAGAAAATGTTCTGCATCCCACTTTGGTGAGTGGCGTCTGGGGTCTTAAAAGCTTGCAAGCGGCCATCTAAGATACATCAATTGGTCCCAACCTACCTGGAGTAAAGGAGAATGAAGAACACCAAAGTCACATGGAAAGTACTGGCCCAAGAGACAGAAAGGGCCACATAAGCCAGAGACTTCTTCAGCCTGAGACCAGAAGAACTAGATGGTGCCCGGCTACCACCAATGACCGCCCTGACAGGGAACACAACAGAGAGTCCCTGATGGGGCGGGAGAAAAGTAGGGTGAAGGACTCAAATTCTAGTAAAATAAACCAGACTTAATGGTTTGACTGAGACTGGAGGGACCCCAGAAGACATGCCCCCTGAACTCTCTGTTAGCCCCAAACTAAAACCATTCCTGAGGCCAACTGTTCAAAGAGTAGACTGGACTATGGGACATAAAATTATACTCGTGAACAGTGTGCTTCTTAGCTCAAGTAGATAACATGAGACTAAATGGGCAGCTCCTGCCTAGAGGTGAGATGAGAAGGCAGAGAGGGTCAGGAGCTGGTTGAATGGACACGGGAAATCATGGGTAGAAAGGAGGAGTGTGCTGTCACAGTATAGGGAAAGCAACTAGGGTCACATAACAATATATGTATAAATTTCTGTATGAGAGACTAACTTGAATTATAAACTTTCACTTAAAGCATAACAATAAACAAAAACTTTCTAAGTTTGAGTTTCACTATGCATGTTACTGGAGCCCTTGTGGCGCAGTGGTTAAGAGCTTGGCTGCTAACCAAAAGGTTGGCAGTTTGAATCCACCAGCCACTCCTTAGAAACCCTATGGGGCAGTTCTACTCTGTCCTATAGGGTCGTGATGAGTCAGAATCGACTTGATGGCAATAGGTATGTGTCTTACTAATTTTTATTTCTTCTTTTGACCTACTTTTTTAAGGTTTTCATAATGTCTGTTTCTTGTACCAGTTATTTTTATTGTGAAATATTTCAGAAAAATAAAAAAAAACCAGATTAATATAAGGAACACCTATGTTATTAAGCACCCAGCATTATAGCAGACTGCCACATCTTTCTCCCTCGGAGCAGCTGGTGGGTTTGAATGGCCGGCTCCTCCCCATAAAGATTACAGCCTTGGAAACCCTATGGGGCAGTTCTACTCTGTCCTATAGGGTCGCTATGAGCTGGAATCGACTCCCCAGCAATGGGTTTTTTTGAGTTTAGTTCTGCAGAGTCAATACGTGACAATTGCTTGTTAAGCCTTTGGAGCTCTTTGAGAGGAACAGAAATACCTCACAACACATTGTGATACGGGTTCTTTCTTTCTTTTTTTTTTTTACTTGTACTTTTGCACAGAGTCAAGAACTGCACAGCCATCTGGGAAGCTTTTAGCGTGGTGCTGGACAAGGATCCCTGTTCTGTGCTGCCCTCTGACTATGACCTTTTTATTAACCTCTCGAGGCACTCCATTCCCAGAGACAAGGTAACTCCACAAACATCACTGCGTAGATTTCTCTGTCTCTGTAGAGATGCAAAGGTCACTGGGTGGTGCAAATCGTTTGCACTCGACTACTAACATAAACGTTGGTAGTTTGAACCCACTCTGTAGCATCGTGGAAGAAAGACCCAGCGATCTGCTTCTATAAAGATTACAGCCAAGGAAACCCTACGGAGCTGTTCTACTCTGCAACACATGGCGTCGCCAAGAATCAGAGTCGACTCGACAGCAACAGGTTTGGTAGAGATGTGTGGTGCCTGGGTCAGGTATGAGGTTAGCTGACCCCAGAGACCCTACAGTGTCACCTCAACAGCAAGCAACAAATTCACAATGTATGTGTCAAGCTCTCTGGTGGGAAGGCAGCTCTGTTTTAACAGGGATCCTGGATGTCCTGTCCCTGTCGTGGTGGTTGGCAGAAGTCACTTTCCCAACTCAACAAGCCAGTGCAAGAATCACCTCGCGAACATGGCCACACCTTTCGCACTGGGCCTCCCCATCTGGCTATTTCTGAATGAATGACTTCCATCCTAACTGGCCCAAAAGGCCTGAACCATAATCCAGAAAACTCTCAACCTCAGTGTCCTCCCAGGAAACTAATTCCCCCTCTTAATTGGCTTTAAGATTATACTTTTTAGAGCAGCTGTGGTTCAGTGGTAGAATCCTCGCCTTCCATGTGGGAGACTTGGGTCGATTCCCAGCCACTATAACTTATGTGTAGCTACCACCTGTCTGTCAGTGGAAGCTTGCAGGCTGCTATGATGCTGAACAGGTTTTGGTGGAGCTTCCAGACTAAGGCGAAGAAGAAAGGCCTGGTGATCTACTTCCAAAAACCAGCCAGTGAAAACCCTATGGATCACAACAGCCAGATCTGCAACAGATCATGGGGATGGCTCAGGACCCGGCAGCATTTCCTTCCATTGTGCCTGGGTTCTCCATGAGTCAGGGGCTGACTCGATGGCAACTAACAACCACAACATTGTATCTATTCAGTTTCCTTTAGAAAGTACCAGTTTCCTTAAGAAAACCACATATCTATGTTCTTTTTTTTTATTGTTGTAGTTTAAGTGAAGTTTACATTTCAAGTTAATCTCCCATACAAAAATTTATACATACGTTGTTATGTGACCCTAATTGCTCTCCCTGTACTGTGACAGCACACTCCTTCTTCCCACCTCTGATTCCCCATGTCCATTCAACCAGCTTCTAACCCTCTCTGCCTTCCTATCTCACCTCCAGACAGAAGCTGCCCATTTAGTCTCTTGTATCTACTTGACCTAAGAGGCACACTCCTCACAAGTATCACTTTATGTCCCACAGTCCAGTCCAATCCCTGTCTGAAGAGTTGGCCTCAGAAATTGTTTTAGTTCTGGGCTGATAGAGAATCCAGGTGCCATGCTTTCTGGGGTTCCTCCAGTCTCAGTCAGACCATTAAGTCTGGTCTTCTTACTAGAGTTTGGGTTCTGCACCCCACCTTTCTCCTGCTCCATTAGGGACTCTCTGTTGTGTTCCCTGTCAGGGCAGTCATTGGTGGTAGCCAGGCACCATCTAGTTCTTCTGGTCTCAGGTTGATGAAGCCTCTGGTTTATGTGGCCCTTTCTGTCTCTTGGGCTACTACTTTCCTTGTGTCTTTGGTGTTCTTCATTCTCCTTTACTTCAGGTGGGTTAGGACCAATTGATGCATCTTAGATGGCTACTTGGAAGCTTTTAAGACCCCAGACGCCACTCACCAAAGTAGAATGCAGAACATTTTCTTAATAAGCTTTGTTATGCCAATTGACCTAGATGTCCCCTGAAAGCATGGTTCCCAGACCCCGCCCCCAACCCCTGCTACTCTGTCCCTCAAAGTGTTTGATTGTATTCAGGAAACTTCTTAGCTTTGGAGAAAACCACATATCTATGTTCTATCTGCACTCCTAGTTCTAATGCAATGAACATAAATGAGAAAATTTATGTAAAGTGCTTGCTTAGAACAGTACCTTTCATTTAAAGAAAGTGAGCAACGACCATTATTATTTTTCTAAGAATAATTCTGAATCTGATTTTTCCATTGTGCAGTATTTGTAAAGGTAGGCAAATGGAGCTGTGAGTTTCAAGGATATCATAGACTGAAAACATGATTTTTAAGTATATGTTGTATTTTGAACCTTGCTGCCTCTCGGTGTGTAAAAAGGGGAGCCTCTCTCTTCTCTAGTAGATGTGCTAGTTAGTGAACTCAGTAAATACTCACTGAGCTCCTTCTGTGTGCCAGGTATTATACTAAGGGTTGAGGATGCAACAGGGAAAAAAACACAGCCCCCGCCCTCTGGGAGCTTCCAGTCTAGGCATAGACTGATTGGATACTGAGGATCCAATGAGATAACAAATGGAACCTTGTTATTTGTATTCTTGTTATGTGAAAACACTTTGGAAACTATAAAGAATAATATAAAAGTAACGTGTTTTTGTGGCACTTTCCACTCTTGGAAATTCTTTTTGTGATTGCATATCATCCTAACAACAGCTATGAAAGAAGAGAAAGGGCTCATGATCCCCATTTTCCAGACGTCACAACTAAGGATCAAGGAAATGAAACGACTTGGTCGGATCACACATCAAGTACCTAACAGAGCCAGACTTCAAGCCTAGGTCCCTTCGTCTTTTTTAGTCCAGATATCTTTCCATGGATTTGTGCTACTGGGAAAATAACATTTGCATGATAACCCTTGTAATAAACAGAGGAGAGATGGTGGTACTCTTATAAAGGGTAAATAAAGACAAAATTAAAAAGGTTTAGTTGTGCAGCAAGTCAGAGGTGATTAGACAGTTGGGTTGCCTGACTTGTCTTGGTATTGTGCCTGAAAAATCTGTTTTGATTTTATTTTGCATTTGAATTTTGTTTTGTTTTATTTTCCCTCAGTCCCTTTTCTGGGAGAATAACCACCTACTCGTGACTAGCTATTCAGAGAATACCCGTCGCATTACGCCTCTGTGCGATGTTCTGTATGGCAGGGTTGGAGATTTCTTGAGCTGGTGTCGACAGAAAAATGCCTCTGGTAAGACTCCTGCACAAATATTAGAAAAATATTAACTCCTATTTACCACGCGTTTGCCATTTGTATATTCATTTATATAAATGTTTACATCCATTGATCTCATTTGTTTTCCCTAAAACCCTCTGAGGTAGATGGTAATAATAATACTAACAATAAATAATAATAAAGGGCACTTACTTTATGCTAGGTACTGTTCTAATCACTTTACATATATTAACTCATTTAATTCCTGTAAAGAGCCCTGGTGACGCAGTGGTTAAGAGCTCCGGCTGCTAACCAAAAGATGAGCAGTTCGAATCCACCAGCCGCTCCTAGGAAACCCTATGGGGAAGCTTTACTCTGTCCTGCAGGGTCATTATGAATCAGAATCGACTAGAAAGCAACAAGTTTCGTTCTTTTGGTTAATCCCTGCAACAGTCCCATAGGCTAGGTGCTGTTATAATCCCTGTTTTTACAAATGAGGAAACTGAGGCACAGAAAGGTCAAGAAACTTGCTCAGAGGTGCACCCCGGGTAAGCAGCAGAGTCAGGCAGTCTGACTTCAGAGCCCAGGATGTCAACCCTGCACAAGTCTGTGTCACTCTCCTAATTTTCCAGAGGGGGAAACTGAGGCTTAGGGAAGATAAGTAACTGGAAGTGGTAGGTCGGGATTCACCCCTGTTGTTCAGGTTTCAGACTGATTCTGCAGCCTGCACTCTTTAAATCCCATGTCGGACTGCCAGCAGATAATTTCAAGATTAAAATCACAAGAAAAAATAAAATCCCAAGAGTAGTCCTGCTAGTACTGAAAAACTCTCCTTAGTCACCCAATACCAGTACTAGGAGCGGGAAGCACAGCCCTTGCCCTCAGCGGCATATAGTCTTGTGGGGGAGACATTTACTGGAATGGTGGGTGCTCTGATGGAGAACAACCAGGATGAATGCTAAAGAGGAGGAGTTTATTCCAGGACATTGGGAAAGACTGCTGGCTGCTCATGGTGAGTCTCTAAGGATGAGCAGGAGGGAGTCCAGCAAGGAAGGAAGGTGGAGGAAGGTGTTCTCGTCATGCAGACGGGACATTCTGCCTCTTTGTGTATCAGAGTTACTTTAAGAGTTAATCTAAGCTCAGTTCTGTTTATTTTTCCTTCCTTCCTCCATCCACCCAATTAAAATTCTCTGAGTGCCTGTTATGTGCGAGGCCCCCTTCTAGACACGGGAAACACAGCAGAGAATAAAAAAAGGAAAATTATACCTCATCCTCACATTATAGAGAGGGGAGATAAGATGATAGACAGCTAAAATATATAGTATGCCGTATGATGCATAAGTGCTACAGAGAAAACGGGGAGAAATAGGGCTGTTGCAATTTTACACGGATGCCCAGGGAAAACCTCACTGCAAAGACCTGAAGAGAGCGATGAGGAGCATTTCCTGACAGAGGGAATAGCAGGTGCAAAGGCTGTGAGGTGGGAACATGTCTGGAAGATTTAAGGAATAGTGTCTTAGTTATCTAGTGCTGCTGTAACAGAAATACTCCAAGTGGGTGGCTTTAACAAACAGAAATTTAGTTTCTCACAGTTTAGGGGCTAGAAGTCCAAATTTAGGGCGCTGGCCCTAGGAGAAGCGTTTCTCTCGTTGTCGGCTTTGGGGCAAGGTCCTTGTCTCTTCAGCTTCTGTCTCCTAGTTCCTTGGAGATCTCCATGTGGTTTGGCATGTCTCTTCCCCCATCTGAGCTTGCTTAATCTCCCCACCAGTTGCTCCTCAGGAGAAAGATGTGGCAGTCTGCTTCCATAAAGATTGCAGCCTTGGAAACCCTATGGGGCAGTTCTACTCTGTCTTACAGGGCCTCTGGGAGTTAGAATCGACTGGACGGCAAGGGGTTTGGTTTTTGGTAAGAGACTGATTCAAAACACATCGTATACTAATCCTATCTCGTTAGAATAACAAAGACAACCCATTCCCAAAAGGGATTGTAACCACAGGCATAAAGGTTAGGATTTGTAACACGTATTTTTGGGGGACCCAATTCAATCCATAGCAAATAGCAAGGAGGGCAGTGAGTGAAGAGGAAAGCAGGGGGCTGTGAGGCACTGTGGGTCAGATGAAAGTGAGGACTCTGACTTTCACTGTGAATGAGATGGGAAGCCATTGTAGGGTACAGGTAAAATGGATGTGGCCCTTCTTTCAAAGATCAGTGACCAGGAAGCCTCAGTTTGATTATACTGCAGGGAGAATTGGTGGGGGGGGGGCTGCGGGGGCGATAAGGAGTCATGGCAAGCGTATATGAAGCATCATGGAGAAACCTTAGATGCTGGTTTAGAGTAAAACACAGAGGTTTATTAAGGATATAAAGAACAATTTGAATCTGAAATTATGTGGCTCATAGAAATGAAACCACAGAAGCACAATAATTACACAGACATTTTATGGAGTTCAGACAAAAAACAGGGCTTATAGTATTTTGATTGGTTTTCAGGCAAATTGGGAAGTTAGTGGGGGCTTTCTCACAGTGGAGCTCATCATTGATTGGATTAAACAATATCCGTGCTGACAGCTGGGTCAACAGACTGATGACAGGACAATGTCAGAATAGGGCTTCTTCCCAAAATTAGACAGCAAACAGGTTTGCTAGGCATTGATTAACTATTTTAAGACATAGGTTTCTTGAGATTTGACATAAACCAAACCCACTGACATTGAGTCAATTCCGACTCATAGCGACCCTATAGGACAGAGTAGAACAGCTCCATAGGGTTACCAGGGAGTGGCTGATGGATTCGAGCTGCTGACCTTTTTGTTAGCAGCAGAGCTCTTAAGCCCTGCGCCACCAAGGCTCCTGAGATTTGACATAGGGGACCGTAAAAATCATATAGGTGCTTGGCCGGAAGTAGCGAGGCTGAAGCAGGGTCCACGGGCTAAAAGGAACGTTTATATAAAAGTTTGTAAAGGGGTTATAGTTAATGCTGGAGTCCATTTTGTGCGAGCGTTTGTTAAAAGTTATAGTTAATCATTATGAAAGGTTCTAGAAGAAATGAAAGGACAAGCTGAAACTCATTGTTTCCTGTACCTAAACCAAAAAACCAAACCAAACCCGTTGCGTCAAGTTGATTCTGACTCATAGTGACCCTGTAGGACAGAGTAGAACTACCCCATAGGGTTTCAAAGGAGCAGCTGGTGGATTCCAACTGCCAGCCTTTTGGTTAGCAGCCAAATGCTTAACCACTGTGCCACCAGGGCCCCAAAACCAAACCTGTTGCCGTTCCATCGATTACAACTGATAGCGACCCTATAGGACACAGTAGGATTGCCCCAGAGGGTTTCCCAGGAGCAGCTGGTGGATTTGAACTGCCAACTTGTTGGTAAGCAGCCGAGCTCTTAACCACTACACCACCAGGGCTCCACTCCCATACCTCAGGGAGGGATATTCCATGAAGGTACTTTACCTTAACCAGCAAAGAGTCTATACTACAGGAAGGTTATTCTCTCAAAGGAGCCAAAGTCAGATGTTGCCAGGTAGTTCCCAAGGAAAGCTCCCCATAGTGACTAAATGGTACCTAGCCAACAAAGTCTCTTCAGATCAATCGTGTATTCCCATATGTTATGTTTCCTACCTTTGACAATGATGTAATTTTTCTTAATTTACTTCATTCTTTAACGGTACATTAGATACCCTGAATGTGATTCAGTGGATTCTGCTAGTCTCTTGTGCCAAGTGCACGCTGGCAGATCTCTCATTGAAATGATTGTCTTTGTCTCAGCTTGATAAAAATCTCTTTGATTAAATCTGAATCTGGGGTCTTTTTCTCCTACAACAGATTGTATAGTTGAAGCATTTCACAAACCCCAACCAAACCTGTTGCCATTGAGTTGATTTCAACTCATAGCAACCACATAGGGGTTTTACAAAGGAGAGGGTTAAATGAAGTGGGGAATTGGCTCCAATTGGATGCATGCGTATAGGGAGCAATGCAGGGGTTAGTTACAGGAGTGAATTATAGAGTTTGCGCCGGCATAAAGATTTACAGTTATAGTTATAAGATGCTTACTACACACATTCTCAGAAGTCATAAAAGTCTGGTTTGATATGAAACACTCCTTGGGATTGTCATGTCTGGTGTAAAACACCTTCCAAGGATTGCTTGGTGCTGGGCTTTGCGGTAAGCTTGGCGTCTGGACTCCCTCCTTAGACACATTCCTTCCACTTTTCATCTGGACTACAGGGTAAACATTCCTGCTAATAACCTACAGTTGCTAGGCAGATAACAGACCTGAAAGTCAGGCATTGCTAATTTCAGCTTTCAATGCTGCTGAATGTAGCTGGAACATGGATTTTTAGTTTATACATTTTACTCTGGTCAAAAAGGTTTGCTGGAAATTTTCTCTCTTACAGAAGAGAGAGGAATTTTCTAGAAATCCACAAGGGCCTTCCTTTCTCTGTTTTTATCTATGTTATCCTATCAGTGGTCTTTGTTTAAAAAGACAGTGAAGTGCAGTGGTTTGCATTAAACAAAGAATGGTTTGTTCACATCATGGAATCCTATGGAGCCACAAAAAATGATGATGGGGCTTTTCATTGACTGACCACGAAAGATGTTTGTGACAAACTTGTAAGTGAAAAGCCAAGTTATAAAACACTGCGATTGGTATGATACCATCCATATATATACATATATGTACATGTATATTTAATACATATATATACACACAATATACATGAACATATACACATAGAAAAAACATCAAGAAGGTAGCAAACCCCAATTATTAACAGTATTTTTTTTCTTATCCATATTTAATTTTTTTTTTTTTTTTTGGTAAATTGCGTATATTCCTAATGAGAATGTTTTTAAAATTTTTTAAAGAGAGAATTCCACAAGTAGGTAAATGATAATTAATAATAACAATGGTTGTTGTTGTTAGTTGCCATCAAGTTGATCTGACTTATGACAACCCCACATGTGCAGAGTAGAACTGCTCCACAGGGTTTTCAAAGGCATGACCTTTCAGAAGCAGATTGCCAAGAAGCCTCTAAGTAGGTTCAAACCGTCAACTTTTCAGCTAGTGGTCAAGTGCTTAACCATTTGTGCCACCCAGGGACTTCTATACCAATGGTTAGTGGTCTAAAAACAAGAAAGTATCAAATAGGCAAATACAGAAATTACTGTTAGGACGCATACCACCTTTAAGCCCTGGCTGTCAGAAATGGTGGGAGGAGCTCTAGGAAGCTCAAGATGTAGATTCTAGTCCTCCGTAACACTAACCAGCCATGGGACCTCACTAAGAGTCATAGATCTTCTCTGAGAAATTTGTGACATTGTCCTGGAGGATAATATCTTGAAATATTTCGAAGTCTAGAGTATCTAATTTAAAGAAGTAATTACCACAAAATTCTGTTCCTGTCATTAGTTATGGAATTAACTGTTCCATTTAGAAGAATACTCCTTAAAAGTGCTATAAATCATCACATTTGTATTCCCCTGTAGCACATCATTTCCCTTAAGAAAGTACAAATTTTACTCTGGTTGGGATACTCCCGAATACAATTTGTCAATGAGCACTTTCTCCTTTATAGAGCAAGTGGTGAACACATCCCACTACGTATCTGCTGAATTCTACCCTTGAAATTTTAAAAATTTAATACATTTTAAATATTTATAAAATTTCTGTTTTCCAAAACTATCACTTTCTTGGCCTGGTTTTCTTATAGTTACTTACTTCCAAGACCAGGAGTAACAATTCAATTTTTGGAAGAGGTACTTCTCCCAATGAAGCAAAGTTTTATTACTTCGCTAGAGCTGCTGTAGAGAAATAACCCAGCTAGCATCCTGATGCTAAGTGGGCAGCTAGGCTCACTCATTAACTAACTGCTTAGTTTCCTGCCTTCCTCACATTCTTGACTGAGCAAAATGACGAATGACCTCATATCATGGATTGGATAGCCGCTTACCAAGTCTTGTGGATTGCGTGGACAGAACCATGAATGTTAAACTTGTGTGCATTGTGCCAAATGCAGACTAAATACATTTTGTGGAACCAGCAAATGTTTTAAATAAGTCATTCCCTAATATAATCTTTAAGGGAGCCTGAGCCCTGGTGGCGCAGTGGTTAAGAGCTACAGCTGCCAACTAAAAGGTCAGCAGTTGGACTCCACCAGTCGCTCCTTGGAAACTATGGGGCAGTTCTACTCTGTCCTATAGGGTCACTATGAGTTGGAATCGACTCAACGGCAACAGGTTTTTTGGTTTGCTGCCACAATGATTAAGCACTTGGTTGCTAACTGAAAGGTCAGAGGTTCCAACTCACCAGCGGCTCCACAGGAGAAAAGACCTTGCGATCTGCTCCTGTAAAGATTACAGCCTAGAAAACCCTACGGGGCAGTTCTACTCTGTCCTATAGGATCTCGATGAGCTGGCATCGACTCGATGGCACAAAATAATGACAACAATATAATCTTTGAAATGAAATGTATTTGTCTATTTTTTTTTTTTTTTAGGACTCGACTACCAATCCTGCCCTACGTCAGATGATTGTGAAAACAATCCTGTGGATTCTTTCTGGAAAAGGGCATCCATCCAGGTAATCCTGGGCTGGGTGGCTGGGCGCAAGTTGGACCAGTGAACATGGAACAGATAGTTGAGAAACTGAGCCATTGGGTCATTACTTAACTTCTCTGGGCTTCCCTTTCCATTGTGGTAATGTGCAGATTCATTCTTTCTGCTATATAAGGTTGTGAGGATTCAAGGAGATAAACTACTTAATGCAGTGCCTGACACAGAGAAACTTTGGTGAATGCTAGCTATCGATGAAGATATTAAATAGTCATTATTATTATCACTATTGTGTACATTGCATTGGACAAATCTGTGGCAAAATATCTCTTTAAAATCTTAAAAAGCAAAGATGTCACTTTGATGACCAAGGTGCAACTGCCCCAAGCCATGGTCTTTTCAATTGCCTCATATGCATGGGGAAGCTAGACAATGAAAAAGGAAGACAGAAGAAGAATCGATGCATTTGAATTGTGGTGTCGGTGAAGAATATTGAACATACCATGAAATGCCAGAAGAATGAACAACTCTGTCTTGGAAGAAGACAGCCAGAATAATCCTTAGAATCAAGGATGGCAAGACTATGTCTCACTTATTTTGGACATGTCATCAGGAGAGGTGGATCGCTGGAGAAGGACATCATGCTTGGTAAAGTGGAGGGTCGGTGGAAGAGGGAGGCCTTCAATGTGATGAATTGACACTGGCTACAACAATGGGTTCAAATAGCAACAACTGTGAGGATGGTGCAGAACCGGGCAATGTTTTGTTCTGTTATACATAAAGCCACTATGAGCCAGAGCTGACTCAGCAACAGCTAACAACAACAACATTGATTGACCTACCTATTGTATTTTAAGTCAATGTGATTTTTTTTCTTTTAATTTTGGTGAAAATTTACACTGCAGAACACTCATTCATCAATTTCTACATGTACAATTCAGTAACTTTGGTTACATTCTTCATGTGTGTCACCATTCTCATTATCTTTACCCATATTGTTTCACCACCATTGGCTTAAACTCACTGCTCCTTAAACTTCTCATCAGTGCTTTAGAGCTACTGTTGAGAATTTGATCTCAGATAATTCTGTAAGAGTGCAGTAGTCATGGCCAACATTTTTACTAATTTAGCTAAACAGTTGTTTAAAGATGGCTTCAGGGGTTAATTTTGGTTCATGGTTTGAAGGTTTTATCAGAGCTATAGATTCAGGTGTTCCTTCAGTCTCACTATGTCCAGTAGGTCTAAATTCTGTAAGAATTTGAAATTCTGTTCCACATTTTTTCCCCTTCTGATTGGGATTCATCTACTGATGCACCATCCATTTTTTCTGGTCTCATGGCTAAGGAGGCAGTAGTGGAGTTCATGGAGGCAGTTAGATCTGCAGTCCTGTTCCTTCTCCAATTCTGGGTCTCCTTCTTCCTTTGGTGCTCCAGGTGAATAGAGACCAATTGTATCTATGGCCACTCACAAGCTTTTAAGACCCCAGGCACTACTCACGGAACCAGGAAGTGGAACAGTAACTCTAAAGACAGTATTAGGCCAGTTGACTGAACAGTCCCATGAAGTGGAATACATCGTTGTGCACAATGCTGTGGTAGTCCTTGGTGCTGTTTAACAAATATTTCTGACTTGTCTTCTGGAAATGTGATTAGGTTTGCATTCCCCTTCCTCTTTCAAGCTAGGCATGGTCAATGTGACTTACACTGGCCAATGAAATGTGAGCAGGCATGACCTATGTGACTTCCACATGGAAGCCTTTAAAAACTGGTGTGTAATTTGCCACTTTCTCCTTCTTCCTTCCATGGCAATCAGAGATTTTGCAAATGTGGAGGCTTCATCAGCCTGGGTCCCAGAGTGAGGACATATGGAGCTACATCCCAGTGGAACCATGATAAACATGTAGTGTAATCAAGAAATGAACTTTTATTGTCTAAAGCCATTGTGATTTTGAGGTTGTTTGTTACAGCAGTATAACTTATTCTATTCCAGCTGATACGATGCCGTGTATTTCTTCCTTTTTTTTTTTTTTTAGGGTAGATTCCCAGACATGGAATTACTGAGTCTATGGGTTTTTGACATTTTAAACCAATTTGCTCTCTGAAAATTGTACTAGTTTGCTTTCCTACTAGCCGGATAAAATACTAAATTTATCATATCCTTGCCAATATTGAGAATTGTCAATTAAAAAAAAATTGCTTATTTCATGGATGAAAAATGGCATGTTTTAATTTTCTCAAAATACTCATTTCTTTTTGCAGTATTCGATGGATAGTTCTGGGGTGATCTTTGTCATGCTGAATGGTTCAGATCCAAATGGAGCCTATCCTGTTAGGGGGTAAGAACACCAGCACCAACAAACACAACAAAGAATGCCAAAATGTTTCTGTAGTTGTTTTGAATGGAGGCTAACGAGAATCATCCTGGTCCCCAATTGTCTTAGTTCTCTAGTGCAGCTATAACAGCTTTAACAAACAGAAATTTATTTTCTCACAGTTTAGGAGGCTAGAAGTCTGAATTTAGGGCACGGGCTCTAGGGGAACACTTTCTCTGTCAGCTCTAGGGGAAGGTGCTTGTCTCTTCAGCTTCTGTTTCCCGGTTCGTTGGAGATCTCCATGTGGCTTGGCATCTATATTCCCCCCATCTCTGCTTGATTAATCTGCTCCTTTTGTATCTTGTGAGAGATTGACTCAAAACACACCCTACACTAATCCTGACTCATTAGCATAATAAAGATAGCCCATTCCCAAATGGGATTATAACCACTGGCAGAGGTTAGGATTTACAACACATATTTTTGGTGACACAATTTAATCCATAACACCAACCTAATGCTTGCTTTTGTAAATTCAGGTAAAGCAAAGCAGTTGAATGTGCTAGTGATCAGAGCCATCCACGTCTATACAGTTATATAGTCAACAGTCAACAAATGCATGAATGAAATAGGTAGCCTAAAAATAAAAGCTAAAAGAAAACAAAAAACAAACTCAAAAAGCTTTTAAAAAAGCAATGTGTAAATAAGTTAAAACTGAAATAGAAAAAGAATTTTATTGCTTTAGGACTTTAAGAAATGTTATTTTTCAGTTTTTTTGCAGACTATGAAATTCCGTACTTCCAGAAGGATAAAATCACACGATTTGAGATCTGGGTAATGCACGAAATCGGGGGACCCAATGTGTAAGTTATAGTGTTATTGATGATGAGTAATTGGGCGGGCATGCTTTTCTTGGGTATTATATGTTCATGTTCATTTTGTATTTTCATGTTTGGAAAAATGAAAATTTCCAGTGTTTCTGAAGTGGTGGGTAGAGAGAGACAGCAACTTGATTTTCTGAGAATGCCACTAACCAGTCCTGAGCCCAGAGAGAAAACCTCTCCTTTATCCAGGATACTCCTCTCTGCCAGGGAAAATCGTGTTCCTTTTTGAGTGACCTGGGCAACTTTGGAAGCGAGTTCCTTATGCATTTGCCCAGGTCAAAGCCAGTTTTTCTGTCTGGTCATTTGAGGCCCAAAAGCCCTTACTAGGGGCTCTCAGCATTGACCCAGGACTGTGTGAGGAAGGCATTATTCTCAAAGACCAATCAGCTCTACGGTTGGGTCTCAGATAACTGACCAAGGAAACTTTTAAGATCCATATTTTCTGGAGAACCATTTGAGTTTATATCAATGCAAGCTTGAGCTCATCTGTCTCAGCAATAAAGGGTGATGATGGCACACATGCAAGATAAAAAACTGAAACCCATTTGGTTCAGAGACAAGCCAATGAGGCTGCAGCCTCAGGAAAGCTGGGAAGCCATGGTGGAGCTTCAGAGGCAAGCTGGGTTGGTCTTCGGAGCAGTGGTTCCCCAGGGAGGAAAGTACTGCCCACCCATGAGTGCATGAGCTAGTGAATGCATTCCAGGAGAACTTGGAAAATTCTTCTGTGCCGGTCCTCAGGGCCCTCTAAGACTAACCATACAATGATTGATAATTTTTCTTGTCTCTTGGGTAAGAGATTAAATTTAAAAACTACGTATTACATAAGTTATACCAAGATCTGCATTTCCTTTCCCAGAAGATAAATTATACCTACTATAGCATGGCACCTCTCCTTGGCAACCCTCTGGGGCAGTTCTACTCTGTCCTATAGGGTCACTATGAGCCAGAAACGACTTGAAGACACCTAACAACAAGAGCATACCATAGAAAACAATGTATAGTGAAACCTGCGAGAGCCGGTGACTCGATGGGACTACCTTGTTTTTCCAGGTCTCCCAAGTTTTCTGCCTTTGACAGGGTGCAGTCTTACCACTTTCTTCTCGCTCTCTATTAGTGGAAAATCTTTGAGTTTTCCTTCTCTGACAGGTTTCTGCATTACATAGATTCTGGCTTTCACAGGTTTTACTGTATATCATTTGCCTACTTTCTGTGAGAATTTGCTCTTTGCCCAGAAATTATGCTTGCTTGTTGTTTTAATGTATCTGTCAGAAAAAGTGTGTCCTTTGGACCTGCCCTTAATGAGATAAGGAAATGGCAATTGAATCTCATTTCAGTTCGTCATTTCTGCCACAGGGAGGGTAATAAAAGATGTCAGAGCACCTTCCCTCCTGGTTGTACATTTGTGTCATGAGGAAATCCCTCTGTTTTTGTCCCCACAAAAATGGGAGTCTTAAACTGTTCAAATTTTAGGAAAATAATCTCAAGCCAAGAGCTAAACACAACATAGTTAATACCTGATTGTGTTTAGTGCTGCTTCGGCTGCCTCTATTCAAAGACACAATAAAATAACCACCATTGGTCAATCCCTGTGTCTAGGTGCCCTGAAGCCTCCACGTCACTGCTTACAAAACTCAAAGTCATAGGCCTGGCCCAGAGAAGGGCATTATTCCTGATATGACCGAAGTTCTGAAATATGTCACTCAACACCTTGCCCGCTTCATTTCCGAAATTCTCAGAATTCCACTTCGCTGGTAAAAACTTCCTCCAGCTCTCTGTGTTCATTTTTTCCCTGCACATTCCTTCCTTATTGTTTCTATGCAGTGGGGAGGCTGTTTACCTTCCCATTCCTTGTAAACTCGGGCAGGGCATTCGTTACCTGTGATATGGATACCATACCTGATAACCACACCTGGCAGTGTTGTTCCTACTTCTGCTTGCCTTTATAAGTGCTCTCTGCTTAATTATGACCATCAGGATGGCTTGAGTCACGTTGGTGAGAGTATGGGGAGATGGACACTCATATTCTTCTAGGGTAGGCAGCATGGGGTGCAATTGGGCAGTGCATATCAAGAGCCATAAAATGGATTCAAACCCTTTTGCCAGAAATACTACTTTCAGGAATTTATGCTAAGGAAAGAAATAATGAAGGATGTGTATGAAAATGAAGTCTCAACAAGGTTTTGTTGTCGTATATATGGCACTGAAATTTAGGAAATCAACCTAGGTCTTGGTCTTCAACAAGAGGGAACTGGTTATATAAGTTATGGTACATTTAGGTAAGGGAGACTATTGGAAATAAAAAATAACGGCATATATACGTGTGCATGTGTGTATAGGTCCCTGGGTGGCACAAATGGTTTATGCTCAGCTACTGACTGAAAGGTTGCCAGTTTGAATTCGCCCACTGGCACTGCAGAAGAACGACCTGGCGATCTATTTCTGTAAGATGGTAGTCACTGAAAACCCTGTGGAGTGCAGTTATGCTTAGAAACATGTCGGGTTTTCATGAGTCAGAATTGACTCAATGGCAATGGGTTTATACACACACACACATACACACACTACACAGATATGGGCAAAATTAAAGCAGAATGCAAAATACATTGGGCAGCAGGGTTCCACTGTAATTTTCCAAAAGTTTCATGTAAGTAAATAAATAAGTGCAAGTTGTGAAGGATATACAACAAAATGTTAGCAGTAGTTACTCTAGTCACGTGAGATTTGGGGTAACTATATTTTCCTTTAATTAACCTAGAAGCAACTTCCACCACCTCTTTTATTTTTATTTTTAGGGAATCCTGTGGAGAAGGCAGTGTGAAAATACTGGAAGAGAGACTGAAGGAAATGGGTTTTCAGTACAGCTGTATTAACGATTACCTGTAAGTGATATCTTATAACCAATGTGGGTATTCAAAGGTGCAGTGGTGATTTTTTTTGGGAGTGGATATCCACGGGTGGTGTAAGTGGCAGTTTGAGTCCACCCAGAGGTGCCTCAGAAGGAAGGCCTGGCAATCTGCTTTGGAAAGGTCACAGCCATTGAAAACCGTATGCAGTACAGTTCTACTCTGACAGACATGAGGTCTCCATGAGTCAGAATCCACTTGATGGCAAATCTTCCCCCACACCCACCCCCGACTGGTATTGAAAGTGTTCTGCCGGCTATCAGTTCTAAAGGCCACAGGACTGTGTCTTCTGGGTTGTCTCTAGGTGTGGGAGCTGGGAGTGTTCTGGCCAGGGTTCTGATTGGCCTCACCCATTTCTGTCCAGAGTAATTTTCACGACAGTGAAAGGACACATAGAGTAGCATGTTACCGCTTAGTGTGTGTCCGATTTCCTCCTCCCCTTGTGTACTGTATGGTGAGTAACTGAGAACAGGGACTGTGGTTCACGGGACTTTGGATGCCGCACTGCCTGTGGGTCCTTGCCCATAATCAGTATTTTATAGTCTAGGCGGGAATTTCTTTGAGACACTTACAGATAGATATTGACACAATAGCCAAAATATGGATTCAAACATACCAATGATCATGAAGATGGCACAGGACCAGGTAATGTTTTGTTCTATTATATATAAGGTCTCCATGAGTTGACCTGACTCACGAGCAACTAACAACACAGATAGGTATGTCCTGACTGTAGACCAAAGAGACAATAATAATGGGTACCATTTATTGAGGTGTCCCTGGCTGATGCAAACGGTTAAGTGCTCGACTACTAGCTGAAAGGTTGGCGACTGAAACCCACCCAGAGGTGCCTTAGAAGACAGTCCTGGAGATCTACTTCCAAAAGGTCATAGCCTTGAAAAGCCTATGGAGCAGTTCTACTCTGCAAACATGGGGTCGCCATGAGTCAGAATTGACTCGAGGTGACAAACAACAATAACCGTTTACTGAGCACCATTATGGGTCAGAAACTTTATACACTTACACTAGATATCATCTGTGGGCATTCCTGATTCTTGGAAATTTAGATAAGCATGGCTCAAATCCTGGGGAAGTTGTAAGCCGACTCGTGGACTCAGAATCCGCAGCCTTGCTGCCTACTTCTCTGGCTCAGCCCCTAAGTCTGTGAACCTGCTTGGTTCTTCAGGGGCTGGAGTCCAACATTGCAAGGACTCAAAGGCTTTCCTAAGCATTTGTGGGCATGGCAGGGTGAGAATTACATCTGTGCTCTTGCCTTGTATCCTGTGAACATCCTGCTGGCTCTGCTGCCCTCTGCCTTCTCAATCACCCCAGGTGCTAGATAATCCTCCCATCTGAGCAAAGCCCCTTGCAAGTGTGGGCCTCCCCCTCTGATGCCACACTTCTTCCAGGGAACAAGGTCCTTATAGCTGTCCTGATTTTCCTCAGCTTCTCTTGGAATTGGGCAATGGTTTTTTCTGTACCATTTTTCTCATATATTATTGCTAATGCTCTCAGGAAACCCAAAAGTTGTTGTTGTTGTTGGGTGTTGTTATTTTTTCCAATTGCTGTCAAGTCGATTCTGATTCATGGAGACTCCATGTGTATCAGAGTAGAACTGTGCTCCATGAGGTTTACAATAGCTGATTTTTCAGAAACAGATCACCAGGCCTTTCTTCTGAGGCCTCTGTGTGACGCCTTTTAGCACCTGGGCATGTTAACCATTTGCACTACCCAGGAACTCCTTTCTAAAAATAACACAACAACAACAAAAACCTTTTAAAGGTTTTTTAACCTTGTTAAATATAACCCATGTACAGAAAAAAGCACAAACTGTAAGTATACAGTTGGATGAATTTTTGCAAGTTCAACATACACATGTAACCAGCACCCATTCAAGAAACAGAACATAACCAGGACCCAGCAGCCCCCCACATTGACCCAGCTTTCAGTCTCCATCCCCCGAGGAATAACCACTATCCTGATGCGTAAAGTTATAGGTTAGTTTTGCCTGTCTTTAAGCTTTGTGTAATTATCATCCCCTTTTTTATAGATGAGTAAATTAAGGGTCAGAGAGGTGAAATAAGTTGCCCAAGACCACCACTCAGTAACAGAGCTGAGCTTTGAATCCAGCTCCTCATATCTGTGAAACTCGCTTTTTTCTCTCTACAACAGGGATCCTCCTTCCTTAATCAAAGCACCAGATTTTTTTATTGCTGTAAAAATATGTATAACACAACATTTGCCAATTTATCGTTTTTTACCTGTACAATTTAGTGACATCAGTTACATTAATCATGTTGTGCAACCACCACCAGTATCCATTGCCAAATTTCCCATGACCATAAACAGAAAACCACTGCTTCCTGAACAATGACTCCCCCTCCCAACCTCCTCCTACCCCTGGTAACCGCCAATCAGCTTTGGGCTCTGTGCATTTGCCTACTCCAGGTATTTTATTTAAGTGAGATCATACAATATTTGTCCTTTTGTGACTGACTGACTTCACTCAGCACAATGTTTTCAAGGTTCATCCATGTTGTAGCGTGTATCAGGACTTCATTTCTCTTTATGGCTGTGTAATACTCCATTGTGTGTATACACCACATTTTGTTTATCCATTTATCTATTGATGGACATTTACATTGTTTCTACCTTTACTTGAAAACACCAGATTTTAGTACATTTTTTTAAAAAGTAATTTTTACTCTAAGACAGCTCAGGGATAAAGAAAATTGTGGCTAAGAATTCCAACTTCTGGTCACTTTGCTTTAGTACCGGAACTCTCCTAAGGAGGGCATCTCTTTATAAGTTGTTGGGCCAAGTCCAAGGTCTCCTTCACCCTCTCAGCTGTCCTTAGGGTCTCAGCCTGCGTTTACTCCTCTCTAGGAGCCTTGGTGCAGCAACAGTTACCCACTTGGCTGCTAATTGAAGGTTGGCAGTTCGAGCCCATGCAGCTGCTCAATGGGAGAAAGACCTGGTGACCTGTGACTATAAAGATTACAGGCTAGAAAACCATGTGGGGCAGTACTACTCTGTCTCATGGGGTCACTATGAGTCGAAAATCGACTGGACAACACACAACAATGGTGCTGTCTCCACCTAAGCTGGCCCTCGGGGTCTTCTCTTCCAGGCCTGACTCTCCCAGCTCCTCACTTCTTTACTGCTCAATGGCTTTTTCAGTGTCAGGGTGGAGTCTTTGGGATTGCTCCTGGGAAGAAGAAAAGAGATAACAACAATGATAAACACGGGAAAGTGACAAAGATTAAGTAATCTAACACCAGCCCAGTTAAGATTTTTGGTTTTTCTTGCATTGTTCCTGGGGAGCATGGAGGAGATAACAACAACAAAACAATATAACGTGAGAAAGTGACAAAGATCACCAAATCAAACTCCAATCCAGATGTAGGCGAGAGCCTCTGCTCCTCAAAATTCAGGTGTCACTCTCTTCTGTCCTTCGGCTCTAAAGCTCCCCCCAATATTCTTGTGAATTTTGGAAAGGTTGGTGGTTTGAACCCGCCCTGAAGTGGCTCAGAAGAAAGGCCTGGCGATCGGCTTCAGAAAGGTTACAGCCATGAATATCCTATGGAGTGCAGTTCTAATCTGAAAACACGGGGTCACCGTGAGTTGGAATCAACTTGACAGCAACTGGTTTCTTTCCATAACCTCCTTTGCCTCCTGGTTGGGTTCTTGTTAGCACTGTATTGAACCGGACTCGGTGAAACTCTATGCCTTTTTGTGGTATACAACAACAAACTACTCTCATCAAAAGTATATACGCAGAGTACATTCTGCAGAAAAGTAGGTGAGCCCAAGGAGGGGTCACAGAGTATGTCAGAGAACCAACAGCGTAACTATGCTTTTCTTTGGAAGTGCCCTCCAGTCACCTTGCCACAAGAGGTCCTCTCTTGGCCTCCTCCTACCTAATGTTGTCTACCATTTCCTGGATCCTTTCTTCACTACTGCTCTCCCTTCTCTCCTGGATTGCCCTCGAATTTCACATCTTCTCCTGTTGTTGTGCAGAGTAATTTAGCTTTCTTGGCTGAAGCCTGAGCATCGGCCATCACGCATGAGCTTCAAGCCCAAGCTTCTGCCCAAAGCACTTATCAAAGAGTTTTCCCAAACAATGCCTTACATACACACGGAAGTAGTAGAGCATAAACTGTTTGTGCCACCCAAGGACCTGTAAGTACATAGTAAGTGCTCAATAAATGCTGGTTAATATTAAAGGAGTTCTGGTGGTGTAGTGGTTAAGAGCTCAGCTGCTAACCAAAAGGTCGGCAGTTCGAATCCACCAGCTGCTCCTTGGAAACCCTACAGGCGGTTCTACTCTGTCCTATAGGGTCATTATGAGTCAGAATTGACTCGACGGCAATGGATTGAATATTTAAAAAGTGAACAGTTAGTGTGTTCTTCAAGGCCAGAGACTTTGTATCCCCAGTACCTTGCAGGGACACCATAAATATGTGATGAATGAAAGTTATTTAAATAATCCCTTAAATATTATTTCTTTTCCTCCTATAGACCAGTGAAGCTCTTACAGTGTGTGGACCACAGCACTCATCCAGACTGTGCTTTAAATTCGTAAGTAAATGCTTTAACCCAAATCTCCTTATTTTCCCAGGGTAATCAGTTCTTAGTATTTGAGGACTCTGGTCAATTGCAAGGAGTCCCTAGGTGGCACAAATGGTTGACAAATTCTGTTACTAACTGAAAGGTTGGAGGTTTCAACCTACCCGGAGGTGCATTGGAAGAAAGTCTTGGTGATCTCCTTCTGAAAAATCAGCCATTTAAGACCCTGTGGAGCACAGTTCTGCTCTGACACACATGAGGTCACCATGAGTTGGACTGGACTCAATGGCAACTTGTTTGTTTTTGGTTGGTGAATTGCAATATGATTATATACCCATACCCTAAAATGCCCAGCTGCAGAATACGGTTTGTCCTTCCACATGCACTTCTCTCAGTCTCTCTGAGCTACGAGTTTAGTGTGCACCTGATAGACATCTGCTGAGCTGAGCTGAACAAAGACTATGCACTGCCATCAGAGGGTGCCCTGAGGGGTCACTGGCTTCAGCAGAAATTCTAGAAGGGAGACAATTTCATTTCATTATGAATCTTAATATAATTTAAAATTCCATTAATTGTTTTGAGAAAGTAATACATATATGTGGCACACAATTCAAAGGTAAAGGGTAGAGAAAGTGAATAATCTTCCTTCTTCTATTTTTACGTCACCCACTTCCCCTACCCAGAGGCAGCTATCATTTCTACTTTCTTGTCTGTCCTTTTAGAGATAGTGTGTATGTGTTGAAGGAGACCAGGTGGTACAATGGTTAAGTACTTGGCTGCCAACCAAAAGGTTGATGGTTTAAACCCACCCAGCTGCTCTTCAGGAGAAAAACCTGGCAATCTGCTCCCATAAAGATTACAGTCTAGAAAACCATATGGGGGCAGTTCTACTCTGTCACAGGAGGTTGCTATGAGTCAAAATCAGCTTGAAGGCACACAACAACAACATATATGTATGTATTTATGCATACATGTCGATGCATATAATCTTTTTTAACATGATTCATGGAAGTAATAGTGCACATTTGATTCTGCACCTTGCTGTTTTTACTTAACAATGTGTCCCGGAGCTTGGACATTTACTTAGAATTTAAGTGGGTCTGTGAGGTTTCCATATCCATAGATAAAGCATCCTCATTCCTTTTTTTTTTTTTTAAATAATATTTTATTGTGTTTTCAATAAAGGTTTACACAGAAGTTTAGGTTCCCATTCAACAATTTCTGCACATATTGTTCAGTGACATTGGTTATGTTTTCACGTGTGACCATTCTCATTATTTCTGTTCTTGTTGTTCCAGTTTCATTAATCTAGTTTCCCTGCCCCTCCTCATTATTTTAAACAACTCTGTGGTATTCTATTGTATGCACACAGCATGATTTATTAATCAGTTGCCCTTAGGTGAACATTTAGATTGTTTCCAATATTTAGTTATTACTGACAATAAAAAAGAAGACTTCTTTTCCCTCAACTCCCATTTCTTCAAAGTAATTTCTTTTAACATTCTGGTTCATCTCCTCCCATATGTTTTCAATGCACGCATACACATACACACCATGTACACATGTGTTACCAGATTCAGGTATAAGTTTGTTCATTTGTTTTTGGCTCTATTTTTTTTACTTGCCTTTCCTTTTTTTTGGTACAAAAAGCCATTATTTTATACATATTGTTCTGCTCTTTTCATTTAACAATATATGGGCACCATCCCTTTAAGTATATTCATACCTCTGTCTCAGTCTCTTAGTGGCCACTTAGGATTCTGTAGGATGGGTGCACCATCATTTATTTATTTGCCCCAACGGCATGGAGCCAGTCATAGGCTGACTTAGTCGAAGGTTGTACTTGGGATTGTTTTGTTATTATAGCAAAGCTGAAATATAACCTTTGTTTATATACTTTGAACTCTAGTGCAATTATTTGTGTAGGATACTACAAACAAAAAAACCCAAACCCGTTGCCATTGAGTTGATTCTGACTCACGGCAACCCCACGTGTTACAGAGTAGAACTAAGCTCCATTGGGTTTTCTTGGCTGTGATACTAATGGAAGCAGATCACCAGGCCTTTCTTTTGCAGAGCCACTGGGTGGGTTCCAACCAACAACCTTTAGATTAGTAGTCAAGTGCTAGGGACCGTTGTGTAGGATAAATGACCAGAAATGGAGTTGCTGGGTCAAGGGTGTATGTATTTTAATTGTGATAGGTTCTTTTGAATTTTGATATGTTTTGGAAAGGCTGCACCAGTGTATACGGTGGAATGTCCCTGACTCCCCTCCTTCTCCAACACTGGATATTACCTTGTTCTATATCTTCACCTGTACTTGTACGTATAGCTGTGTCTAATCTTAGTCAGTCTTATGGGTAAACATGGTACTTTAGTGTTGTTTTGATTTGTGTTTGATTTCTGACCCCACCACCTGAAATCTTTTCCTTTCCTCTCTGCTAAAACCATGCTTATTCTTGAGGACCCAACTCCAAATGTCCCTTCCTGTGTAGAGCTTTCCCAACCCCCAGTTGGATTTAGGAATTTCCTCCTCTGTGTTCCCCAGGACTTTGTACATAACTTGATTACAGCATTTAACTCTTTTTTTTTTTGCTTTAAAATATTTTATTGGAATCCATTTTTATAAAACTAGGCACTTGTACAGGACAAAGTAAATAAAAGAAGTGAAAGCTGTCTACCTGCCACTTAAGTGCCCCCAAATGTCTAGGCAGTTTTTCCCAGTCAAGTTATCAGACGCTCACGTGGGTAATACAGGGAAGAAAGACCCAAGTTCCTAAGATGGGTCCAACACCAGATAAAAGGATATTCTTTGTGTCAGCAAAATCCATAGCAGCCAGGGAGAAAGGGTGTGGCTCTCCACTTCTGTTCCAGCCTACAGATTAACTAGCAGGAGACATCATCACTAGGCATCGCAGCCATCCCAACAGCACTTCTCGAAGCGTGTTGTCTTAGGCTGGATTCTCTAGATAAGCAAAACCAGTAAAGCATATATCTCTATAGAGAGAGATTTATATCAAGGAAACAACTCATGCAATTGTAGAGGCTAAAACGTCCCAAGTCCGTGGATCAGGGTAGAGGCCTCTCCCAATTCACGGAGACGCAGAAGCTGATGAACCCAAGTTCAGCAGGTTGGAGAGGGACTCCCACTCAAAGGCTGTGAAGGTCAACGAATTCCAAGATCAGCAGACAAGACCGCAAGGTTTCTTCTGATTCATGTAGCTGCAGGGGCTGGCGAACCCAAGATCAGCAGCTTAGGGAACCAGACTCTTGCTTGCAGGCTGTGAAGATTGACGAATTCCAAGATCAATAGGTAAGCTGTTAGCTCAAGTCCCAAGAACCAGAGATGAGACAACAAGAGGCAGCTGCTGAGTCTGGAACAAGCCAAAAACCTTGGCAAGGTGAGCAGGCAGAAAGTAACCAGCAGAAGGCAGAGAGATGAAGCTGAGGGGGTGGTGAGCTGCCACAGGCCCTGCCTCCACCAGTACCGCTCAGCAGATTCCATCATGAGGGTGATCACATATCAGATTTCAACAGGGAAGTGATCACAACATTATACAACTGCTAAAACACTGAGAATCATGGCCTAGTGAAGTTGACATACAATCTTAATTATCACAGGGGTAGACACCAAACCTTAGGCTTTTGGTCATCTCTGCGAAGGGACACCTCTCCTGACTGGGCTCCCAGGACTCTCACACTTTATCCATGGATAACACACTGGTGGATGTCTTAAAACCCCTTTGTGGTGCTGCAGACTGCCTACGGGGCTCAGGAGCCTCTATGAGGTGACTGCGCAAAGATGGCGCCAGATGAAGGGGACCACCACTCTCCCCTCACTCAGGAGTAGCCTGGAGGGCTTCTGTGTCTACTTGCCAAATACATACTCACACAAAGAAAAGAGTAGTCATTAATTCTTTCTGGCTCATGTTGTTTATCATCTGTCTGCCTCACGCAGTTTGAAGATTAAATCAACTTCCTCTTTATGCTTCTCAGTGTGTTTCATAGCAGTCAGACACAGCAAGAGCTCCTTAACTCCCTGTAGGGTCCATCCTTCCATCTACAGGGGAAGAGAAGTAATTAGGCCTGGGTATTGACTGTATGTCAGGCACTGTGCTGTGTACATCAGAGTGTCTTGTTCATCCTTACAGCTAGTCCATAAGGCAGAGAGAGACTCCTCATCATCTCCATATGGCTTTTCTTCCCTTCTTCAGTTAGTAATAAAACAAAAAACAAAACTGTTTCCATTGAGTCAATTCTGACTCATGGCAACTCCATGTGTTACAGAGTAGAACTGCTCCGTAGAATTTTCTTGGCTGTAATCTTTGCAGAAGCAGATCACCAGGCCCTTCTTCCGTGGTGTTCCTGTAATAGAATCCTTGAATTTTGGCTGGGTTCATGGCTGCCCAGAGTAAAGTATGTACTTCCTAGCCTCCCTTGCTGCTATGTCCAAGTGATGTATGCAACTTTAGGGTTAAGCACTTACAAGGAAGGGGCATTTGTTCCCTTTTCCCTTTCCTACTTGCTGGTGTATGGACTCAGAGACATGGTGGTGAGCCATCTTCAACTGGGCGTCGCGGAGCAATACTGCAGGAGGAGGCTGGATGCCTCTCACCCCCAAGCATGGAGTCACTCTGTCAGTCTTGGACTGTTTCTGAGATAGCCATCAATCTTGTCTAAGCCACTGTTATATGTAGTCATTTTTACAGCAGCTGATCTTGTATCTGAACTCATACAGGGAAGTTCTATTAGCCTTGTTTCAGAGATTAAGAAACTCTGGTTTCGAGAAGTTAACAAATGACTTGTCCAAGACTACCCAGCTAGTGTGGGCAGAACCAGGATCTGAAGCAAGTCTGTGAAGTTTTCACAATTCAGGCTGACAACCATCATGCTGTTTTGATTGGAAATTGGGATAACAGATTGACTATCACCAGCACGTACCCTTGGAGCTAACATCCCAGGGGTAGGTGAAAGATATGTCATCTCCCTAAGCTCTGCTGTCCATTCCCTGT